TTTTCGTCAGCAGTGACTGCGTCGAATTCTGCACATCCCTTCCTAACAAATTATTGCTCTGCTGAAGTTGCATGCATGGAGTGGACTGCGTACTTCTGCTGTGACATTCGAGGTGGCTCGAGTAAGTCTGCCGTATGGATTCAAGGAGGATACGCATACAACTTTAATGTGGCTAACATAGTACAGGAGAGCGGAAGGTAGGCAAACCGGAGCTACGTTACTATGATATGAACAACGTGAGTTTAGCAAGAACTAATGTTGGCTTTAGTTGTTGGGAACCAATGGCGGTGGATCGCCGCCAATGGCGTGACCACATCAAGAATGCGGTTGCCCAGGTGCACCAGAAAGAGACGTTGCGTCATGAGGAGAAACGTCGGTTGCAGAAGCGCCAGGCGGCGATGGAGCGTAGTCCAACGAATTCAGGCACATGGTGCTGTAGCACATGCAGTCGGGTGTGCCGAAGCCAAACTTGTCTGCTAAGCCATAGACTTGGATACGAGTGGTTAATGTCGAAGAGGCGACGAGTAAGCAATTTGAATAGGTAAGGATCAGCATAACACTTGGTAAGTACGCTGTTTCCGACTCCATTTACTAACCAAGGTCAATAATGCGGTCAATGTGGCACGTGTACTACATCACCACCGCAGTTGCTATATACGTGTGCTTGCGTGTTGATTTCCTTGCATTCCAAGTGTTGACTAATGATTGATATCCCCGGTGTGACTGCTCTTGGTGTGAATGTTGACAAGGTGCCTACCGGTCAAAAACCGGAACCACGATTATACTGGGTCTAGGAGACAGTTATTTGTTGATGGAGGGGCGGAGTGACGACGTTAGACTCAGAGAGTAGTTCCATCCAGTGCGGAGCGGGCTACGGCCCATTCACCGCCTTGTGCACGTCTGGTACGCGTGATTCCACAATTATATAAACAGGAATGTTGTGTACGCTGAAGAAGTGTGGGTCCGCTCCGTCGATGCAATGCGGCTCATCCATATGCTTCCCGGTCTTATTCATTTGGGTGTACACCGGATATGGGGTGTGTGGATGGAGCTGAGGGTGATACAGCGCAAGCCACCTTGATCACTCAGTAGGCGCAGGCGTCCTGTGGCTGTTCGCAGACTCAGTGAAAGGCAACTGCGGAACCGGATGCTGGCGATCATGGCGAGCAGTTAGCTTCGAATATCTATCGAGAAATACAGATAGCTGCGAGGGCCGAAGGTCGTTATGCACATGACAGTAAAGAAAAAGACTTACATTGGGTTGCCTTTCAATAGTACCTTTGCTGTACGGAAGACAACTAAGAGTTTAAACTCCATTATGCAGAAAAGTTACACTACTGTTCAAGTTGTTGCCGCTAGCCGAAGTCGTTTTTACCGGCAACGCTAACCACGCCAACCCAAACTGTGAATACCAATTCGTGTGTAATTGCGGAACCAGGTACATAAGCAGCTGATAGCAGTCGGACTTCCCAAATAAAAGAACATGTGCCGAGCTAAGTTCAATCTGAAATCGCCCAGACTCCCAACCACTCCCAACTTCCGTGCTCACATAGACTGCCAATTTTCCAGACAAGCAAACACTTTCTGATCATCAGTCACCGGAGAGCGCTTGGCTCAGCGTTTAAATTTTTGTATCACGCTAATCCCCGCTTTGTCGGTTTAGCAAGGGCTGTCGCAAGGTGCCGGACGAAGCCACCATTGTGGGCTCTAGAACAATTGATTATCAGTTTTGAAAGGCCCTGGATGTAAAGATGAACTCCCATCATTCGTTCTGCACCTCAAGCTTGACTGGTCGCACCTAATGTTAGGCACATATTTGCATGTCGATTTATCGTTAAGAGTAACAATACGAAATTCGTTTATTCGCCGGTTTTATTTGCTGTGCACTTGTGTTTGGCTTAGCCTCTGCACAAGTGCTTCTGGGTAGACTGGTACTTAGAGCACTGCATACTTCGATGTGTTCCTTGCAACTTCGAAACGCAAGGTGCTGTTGCAGGATCAGGACGACATATCTTTGATTCTAATTATCATCGAACTGCTATGGAAAGTAGTCGAGTGATTGACTCAGTCAGATTGCTGTGTTTCCCATGGTGCTCAACGAACTGAGAAGACTGCTGTAGGTATCAGCAGAGACCGTGTCGCAATCGTCTATGGATAGGATGAGTCACCATGAACCAGACAAAAGTAGGCTGTAGAACGTTTTCATAAGACCATTGTCATTGTATGGATCATAAATATACCAACTTCGCATTGAGGCCGTGTTACACCCGAGGGAAATCAGAAATAAGTACGGAGCAATGGAAGTATATGTAAGATCAATTAGTTATGTATGCGCACAAGCCTTTAGCAAGCAGCAGTATGCACTGAGTTCTAGGTTGGCGTTCGATCAGACCACGGACCAGCAGAGTACGGCCCGCGATGTCAATTCATCCGGCCCGCCGACTGTACCCGAGTTTGCCTGGTGAAGCGTATGGAACACGAGAGGCTGTAACACAATTTACATTTGACACTGCATACAACGTTGTCAGTGACGTTACACCGTTTGACCACTAACGTGAGGCATCTCTCATGGTTGTTACTTGTGACATCGTACTACCGCAATATTTGTGACCCAACATCGTTAGAACATCGATGTGACTGATCGCGCATGTCACCCGTTTATCCGTCCATCCTACCGTGTTTCTGGTTACCTCACACCTTAGTGTCGCAATTTTCTGTTGGGCAGATGCATTGAAGAACGTGACAAATGCAACATCGTTGATTAGGACACCACTAGTTTGTGTATGTGTCAGTTTGGAGCCATACTTGGAAAGTACTGTAGGTTGTTAGTATATAATTGATCTGGAACCGCAAATTATTGAAGTTCGTACATCTCGGTGATGCTAAATGCCTGTAACTAGTACCAGTATACAGTCCAAGCATTGTTCGTTAATTTGGCTCCGGTGGTAACGCTTTTATCAAGACTTCAAAACCCGCTTCTGCTTAGATATATATACACTGCAAGCATTTTTGTGTGATATATTCTATTAGCACACGTACCGATGAACATTACGTGGACCCCTGGTGAGCTGCAGTTCCACCAATGACCACTAGTGCTGTTTCCCGGGGTTTTAACAGGTTTTATAGTATGTTTGTGATACAATATCTCTTTATTGTTCAGATCCTCTGTATCTCGATCTTCACTAGAAAAGTGGACACTGTGTGTCCCGTTTTCTTTGTCTATTTTCTCAGAGTTTAAGTTAGAGCCTGCGGATATTGTGCATGATGGTTATGCGGCCAAAGCTAGCCAGTTGTCCGGCCTGCGTAAGTTACTTTTTCCGGTTTCCCGGCCTGCCCCATCCTTTTTTCTACTTATCCGGTAGTGTAAAACGTTTGGTGACTCCTGGATTAAACAGAAAGAGCATAGGTGTTGCAACCCGGCACAAATGGAATGCACACATTTCGAGAATCCATGCATTTGACCAAGTTTGGCTACAGATCTGCATCCCATAATGGCGAATGCGAACGCTGCTACGCTTGTGATGGAGTGTTCAATACAGTGATTAATAGCGGCTGGTCAATGACCACCGTAGTTGGATTAGTTATGATTGGTCCAACCCTAACACCTACCCTGCAAAGAAAAGTGTTAATTACATGACATTCTTGAGGGTCTTCCGACACTTGGATTGTTGCAGCCGCAAAGGAAGTAGGACTGCTGCTGTCCCTTATTTGGAGCTGTATGCCCATGTTGACTGCTGTGGCAAATGAAGGCTCTTCGGTATGCTGGCACCTACAGACTGGAGAGATAAATGTCGAGTGACTGTCCCGACCATTTGTAAATACTTGAGAGCCGCCGGTTGAAAATATAATTGTGGAGTGACGATCTCGATCATGATTAGGTGCGAAATCTCCACTTAGTTAAACAGATAAGTGTCGGGTGAAATCCAGATCAAGTGTAACCGAGCGGCTCCATATTGCTCATGTACTTGTGAAAAAATTGCATTCTATGTGACTGCAAAAACATCGTCTTGATCAATCCCACCTCCGTCGCCAAATTGGTGCAACCCGGTATCGAAAGAATGGGCACATTTCGAGAATCCATGTACATGACCAGGCTACAGGTCCGCAGTTGGACAATCGTACTGCGTCCGCTCATGACGCTGAATGCGAACACTGCTCTGACCATGACGGAGTGTTCAATACAGTGATCGATAGCGGTTGATCGATGATTGGGTCAGTTAGGATTGGTCTAACCCTAACAATGGGCCAACGAGCGCAGTGAAAGTAAGGAACGGAGCACGAACACGTATTCATACACAAACACAAGCTCACATGCACTGCACACTCGACTGAGATAACGCGTCTGTGACCAAACCTGTATGCATCAAGCCCTTAGGAAAATAATCATCTATAGTGGGGGTATAGTGTGGTATGTCTGAGATCAACAATCAAGTATGCTTGAGCATTTTTCGAAACCATTAGACAGCATGCCTGCTAAACAGGATCCTATAAGGTAGGATAAAGAACTTCAAAATTCAGTTACAACAACTACTTTGGTAACTGCACTTTACGAAGTGTAAGCCAAGCTAAGAACAGGTATCTAGTAGCCACTACACTTCGAGCTTAATCATAGAGCGGTAAGGAATCTCGCTATATCGGGGAGCACAAGCGCTTCAAGTGGATCTAACAGAGTGAATGGTGCGGCATTACCAGAACTCTAGCTTGCGCGTGTTTATTATCGCTAGATGCGGAAAATAGTACTTTGGTCTGCAAGGCTGATTACCCGACCGACTATGCAACCGGCGAACTGAGGTTCCAACTGTAGACAGTTGTTCTTCCTCGGTAGCCAGGAGGCCCAGTAGATGGGTTAATTTACTATATAGTAGTATGCCGATTAGAAATATATAGTTAAAATAAGTAACCGGATAACTCCAAGATTTCGTCAGACACAACATGATAAACATTTGGCATCGCGTACAACCTAATGCGCTGCCGGAAGGAAGAGGACGGTGTGGACTCACTGACCTGTACGGCTACCACAGACAAGACTTCCACCGCGATTCGATTGAATTCATCAAAACAGCCCCAAGCACCGGCTTGCGCCAATCCCTTGTATATGTTACCCACAGACATATAGTCCATCTGTTCAGAACAATTGAACACGTAGACCATGACTCCCAAGGCCCTGCCCAAATCCTTGGTGGTTTCCGTCTTCCCCGTTCCCGCGGGACCAGCAGGGGCGCCGCTCATGCATAAATGCAGGGATTGCGTTAGAGTGATGTAGCACCGGTCGGTCAACGGGGTAATAACCAACCGCGGTGTGTTGCCGAGATACTCGTAGGCGTAGGCGAATTGCGCATCACAAATGTTCGCGTAGCAATTCTGTTTCGCATCATCCCATCGGTGGCGAAGTTGGGAGAGCCACGTGAAGGCCTGGGAGTTTTCGACCTTCTGTGAGATCAGTTTACCAACAATATCACGATTGTGCACATCAACAGTACATAATGTCATAATTTTCTGACGGTCGCCTGGAGTAAGATCGGTGAGAAGCATTTGAATAAGTATTCCCAGTTGGCTGATTTGCTTCTTGTTGTACTCCTTCATTGCGTTCTCCAAGCCCTCCTCCAGGCGACCGAATGCAATTTGAACTTCACTATTCCACCCTATCTGGGATCCAGTGAGGGCTATTTGTGCGGGATAATCGAATATCCATTGATCCCTGGGTTTCTCCTCATATGCCGCAACGGCCTCAGCCAAAACCTTTCGCAATGTGTGACGCATCTCGTCCAATAACAAGTTGAGCCATTCTTCTACTTGTCCTTGCAAATCGAATGACTTGACAAATTTGACCTCTTCTCCATCCTGATTGGCGGAAGGAAGGTGATTAGGATGAATGATCATTCAAATGAGCAACGTGAGAAAAAGGTAACGCCCGGCAAGCTGAAAACAGAGCGTTAATATGGCCCGTGTTACTGGGCTCACCAAGTTTCGCGTTAGCAAAGGGGTTAGCACAAACTTCCGGTATTCAGAATTCGTGAGGAACGCAAACCTTTGACGAGCCCCAGAAGGTCGAAACGGCCGTATGGTGTTTTGAAGATATGCGGCAACCTGCCTGCTTGAGAGAAGACTAAAATGAACTAAAGCTAAAAGGATGTAAGTAATCATAATTCGATTTTGAGAAGTCTGGTGAGTACATCGTTGCTTTTGCATTTAAGTGAGCACTCCATGGTTAGGGCTTATGTGACGTATTATATCCGGGCCAACCCTGTCATCTGCAATGTTCACAAGTTGCATGGCAGTGGAGGAGAAGACGTACTATATCGCAGTTAACTTGCAAATCATGACAGTACAAAGCTGTTCCCCGTAGATCAGTGGCATAAGCTGTTGACTGGCAGCGCAAGCCGCTGGTAGTCATGGGCTCGAATCCTAATGGATCCGATGGATGCGCACTACTGATGGTGCCCAATAGCCTGAAAATGCAGTCGAGTGTTTTACCGGGCATGCGGAAGACAAGCTGCTTTAGAACTGGCAGCGACGAACCCTCAATTAATTATATCAAAATCGTAAGAAGACGAACACTGACAGACTTCAGCATTACGTATTGTCTCTTCAGTGCCAACACAATAACATGAACATATAGACGATGACAAGTAAGGTGAGACCGGAAGAAGTTAGAACAGGATATGCAGCAGGCGTGACACCCTTACGCCCAGGGCAGCCGTAGGCTTACGAACAACTGTTTCTGCACACAGAGTGCGGGTTTGATACGGCTGATCGCGACTGCCTCTGCAAAACGTAGGAAATGGGCATTAGAGCATGTCTTAACACTATCGTAAACATTTTGGCCGGATCAAACTGATGACAGGTGGCCAGCAAATGCCTATCTATGGATGAAGCAGGTGGCTTACGTGAACAGGTGGGATGAGCAACCGACGACTGGGTGATTTGACGTTGCAACCATTTAGGTACATGTTCCCTTATTCTGGAGTTCAACGATCTATTGGTACGGCCGATGTAGTGTATACCACAACTACAAGTAAATTGGTAAGCACAATGTGAGTTGGCGCCAATAGGTTGTCTTTCCGTCATTGGGGTAACAGGTATTCGATTAGTCCGATTGATAAGGACAGTTTCGGCAGCATAATAAGTCCTCTGGACTGCGGAAGTTATGCGCTTCGTTGTCCTCATATTGGCAAAATCACCCTTAAATGGTAGCTCGATGTAGACCTACTTTTTAGACACTGTCGAAGCCTTCTGTTCCGGCACCCTCGCCTGACTATGTTTGTCGATGAATCTTCTTGGATAGCCGTTTATCAACAGCGTATCCTTGAGCGAGGTTATCTCATCACATAAACTGTCGGTAGTGCATAGTTTTCTTGCATGGTTGAATAGTGTCTTGACTAAGGTCCGCTTGTACCGCATTGGGGAGAAGGTGGTAAAGTGCAAGTACTGCCCTGACCAAGTCGGTTTTCGATAAACCTCTCTTCTGATGGACCCATCTGCTCTTCATCAAATCAACACGTCCAGATACGGGAGGCAGTTGCTTTTTTCTGTTTCGCTGCTTACTTTTAGATTCGTATGCAGGTTATTCAGACGATCAGCTAGACGCGCAATGTGCTCCTGTGATGAGCTAAACACTAAAATATCATTCACATACCGCTTATAGTAAGGAAGAAGCGATCTTTCCACACTCAACTTCGTTTCAATCATCGACATGAAAACATCTGTTAGCACTGGCCCAACGGAATACCCATTGCTACCCCATCTATCTGGCGATAAGGAATGTTTTGGAATTGGAAACCGATGTTCTCAGTACATAGTAGTAAACTGTCCTTTAATAATTCGACTGAAATTGGAAGAGTTAAATCGGAGCACTCTGCCATTTCACACACGTAATCAACTGTTTCATGGAGCTGAACATTGGTTGAAAACTATTGTACATCCAATTTGGCCATGACGTTATCGACTAGGTTAAATTCATCTAAGGCCTCGGTAAGCTCAAAAGAGAACTTCAGACGGTGTGGGATAGATTGCCGCTTTAATGGCGCAAGAATTTCTAGCGAGACTTTAGATGAATTTAACCTAGTCGATAAAGTCATGTCCAAATTGGACGTACAATTGCGTTTCGCCAATGTTCCGCTACATGAAACAGTTGATTACGTGTGTGAAATGGCAGAGTGCTCCGATTTTACTTTTCCAATGCCAGTCGAATTATTAAAGGACAGTTTACTACTATGTACTGAGAACATCGGTTTCCAATTCCAAAACATTCCCTATGGCCAGATAGATGGGGTAGCAATGGGTATTCCGTTGGGCCAGTGCTAACAGATGTTTTCATGTCGATGATTGAAACGAAGTTGAGTGTGGAAAGATCGCTTCTTTCCTACTATAACCTCATCAGAGGAGCACATTGCGCGTCTGGTCGATCGCCTGAATAACATGCATACGAATCTGAAAGTAACCAGCCTCCCATAACTGGACGTGTTGATTTGATGAAGAGCGGATGGGTCCATCAAAAGAGAGGTTTATCGAAAACCGACTTGGTCAGGGCAGTACTTGCACTTTACCACCTTCTCCCCAATGCGGTACAAGCGGACCTTAGTCAAGACACTATTCAACCATGCAAGAAAACTATGCACTACCGACAGTTTATGTGATGAGATAAACTCGCTCAAGGATACGCCGTTGATAAACGGCTATCCAAGAAGATTCATCGACAAACATAGTCAGGCGAGGGCGCCGGAACAGAAGGCTTCGACCGTGTCTAAAAAGTAGGTCTACATCGAGCTACAATTTAAGGGTGATTTTGCCAATATGAGGACAACCAAGCGCATAGCTTCCGCAGTCCAGAGGACTTGTTATGCTACCGAAACTGTCCTTATCAATCGGACTAACCGAATACCTGTTACCCCAATGACGGAAAGACAACCTATTGGCGCCAACTCACATTGTGCTTACCAATTTACTTGTAATTGTGGTATACACTATATCGGCCGTACCAATTAGATCGTTGAACTCCAGAATAAGGGAACATGTACCTAAATGGTTACGGCATCAAATCACCCATTCGTCGGTTGCTCATACCACCTGTTCACGCAAACCACCTGCTTCATCCATAGGTAGGCATTTGCTGGCCACCTGTCATCAGTTTGATCCGGCCAAAATGTTTACAATAGTGTTATGCTAACGCCCGTTTCCTACGTTTTGCAGAGGCAGTCGTGATCAGCCGTATCAAACCTGCACTCTGTGTGCAGAAACAGTTGTTCGTAAGCCTACGGCTGCCCTGGGCGTAGGGGTGTCTCGCCTGTCCCCTACCCTGTTCTAACTTGGTCCGGTCTCACCTTAATTATCATCGTACATATTTTCATGTTTTTGTGTTGGCACTAAAGAGACAATACGAAATGTTAACATCTGTCAGTGTTCGTCTTCTTACGGCTTTATTTAATTTACTAAAGGGATCTAACTGTTTCAAATATATCAAAATCCCCCTACTCATGGGTAGATTTTAAAGGTGTTATTGCGTCGTCAAGTTGACATTTGAATACTGACAATTTAGTGGCAGCAATAATCTGAGTTGGCAGAGAGTTCTACGCATGGGAGAGCGGAGAGTGAAAAGTACGGCGCAACCCAGTCGGTTGTAGTAGGCAACCAGTTTTATCTGTGTTTGTGTTTTAGTTGAGTTTCAGGAGCTGGTTTTAAGCGCAGCAGAAGCTTTTAATTATTTTATAATCAATTATTATCGCCTCGCAAACGCCAGTAAGGTATGCTGTGTATTCCTACGGCTCTAAGTAGGCAGGGAAGGTGACACAAATCCTACGCTGTGCAATCATCTCGAGTTCACTGAGGTCGTGCTTTTGCCACGAATACATCCAAGAGAAAATCAAGGTCTGCAAATTCCCGACCATACCCCGTGGAAGGGCAAACTGCTGGTTCACTTGTGTTCGATGCCTATTCGGCCTTCCTCAAGCAGTCAAGGTCATCTCTCAGTGGTGGGAACGAGAACGACGACACTACGCCTCCTTAAGGTCTATGGGTAAATAGAGTAGCAAATAGGGAGGCTAAACAGCCAGCGATAGTTACATAGATTGATACGCGTCGGGAGCTGTCCATACCAACTAAAATTTGGGTTAAGACATGAGGTAAATGAGCACACCAGAATAGTAGACCAGATGGGGTATGTAGGACCGAACCACCAGTATTCAAATGAATACCCGGTAAATTGTGCAGACACTTCACTCGCTGCAATGGAGCACGATGTAAAGCGGCTAAAATTAAACCAAGAGTGAGGACCAACCTTGGCAACCATCTTGGTGGCATGTGCGACCTCGGCGTTCGGTTCAGCGAATGTGAGGCTGCAAATGCTGTCGAACAATTTCGACAAGTGGCGCAACACCTTCGCTGGCACTTTACCATTGCTCACAATATCTGTGACATCTACCTGCGAGACGAAGTAGAAACGTGGGAAGGATAAGCGTTTTGTCTCCAAATAGTCCGCCAGTGCTTTCTCGCACACGGCTAAACCGTCAAGAATTTTTTGTATTTCATCCAGCATCTCTGGTCTCTCGGTGGTGGCATCCAATACCTTGGGTTTGCTTTGAAGTTCTTCGATGAGGACACGGAACTCTTTGTCTAAATCCATGAACATGGCTGTGTCCTCAGGCAGCTGTGATTTTATATCATCGCACAGCATAAAGATCGACTCCAAACCCGACCATATACGCTGTGTCTCAAACCACACGCTCAGGACTTGGTCACTTGTAGACAGTGTCTTGTGCCAATAATTGATTCGGTCTATGTAGAACGAATTGTCTCTATTACCTAACATATCCAGCACTTTCACTTGAATCTCCTCTAACGTTGTGGTCAGCTGCTCCGTTTGCTTCGGCAGCTGCATCCCAGTCCTATCGTGTGTCTCGTATTCAAACATCATTTCGCTCCACACTTGCTCTATCTTCTCCAAATCACGCTCAATCTTTTGTTCATTGGATGCCTTAGACACAATGCCATGCACCTCCTCCTCGAACTTGTGTAGATTGAGGGAAAGCAAATCGGCCAGAGTGGTCTCATCGTTCACATCGATCGTGCGACCGGTGTCGGCCATAAGCTCGATCCAGTGGCGGTCTTTGACTGCTGGGTTCTGTAAGTCCCGGACTGCTGTAACCGAGGCATTGATATCTTTCAATTCGGCCTCCAAGCCTTGGAACATAGGCCATTGTTTAACGTCTTTGTCCATCGTTCGAATTTCCAAGGAGATTTCGCGAATAACCTAAAATTTACAATGCACAGTGGACGGAATAGCTGGTAGGCAATTGACACGATGATACAACAGTCGAAGCTAATTGAATTTAACGAACAGCAATGCTCATACTATGGGGTTGAGGAAACAACGAAAGCTCACTTCATCAATCGATCCAAAGTCAATCTCCTTCCACCTTGATGTTTTCCAAGCGGTGACATAGCTTCGGAACATGTTGATGTAATCCCACACTCGTTTGGTCACTTTCATCTCACGTCGCATCGCTTTCAAGTCCATGTAGGTTGGAATATCACGAACTTCAAACGATTTGGCAGAGACCTGCATCTCTGCAACACCTTTCTCAACTTCGGCCAGACGGGCGTTCCACTGTACCAAACAATAAGATGGGTGGTTACAGTCAGCAGGGAGACGCGCTCTGCCATGATGGATTGCCTGATTCCAAAGCTAGAGCATTGGACTCATCCATCTGTAGCTATGCATATGAATACTTTACGGTCAGTTGTCAGCTTCCCATCCTCTGGGTAATTAAAAGGGGGATCTGCACTACACATTCGTGTGCGTGGAGGAGGTTGATAGCACACTTGCAAGTAAACACATGGACTATAAATTGAATCCATCACATTCGGATTCAATCAGGCAGTTAGTACACATCTGAAAAGCACCGGACGACTGTCCCATCATTTCGGGAATCATCGGCAGTGCGCGTTCCACTTGATCTCTGTGGGTCTATAGCCCGCTGCCTCAGACGTATGAGTGCGCGGTAAGGACCACAAGGTCACAGCGGGCATCAACGACCGGCATGACCAAGTTACTGGACGCAATGTGCATTGCTGACAATTCCCGAAAGGATGAAACGACCGTGTGGTGCTTTTGCTGACGTTGATGTTTGTCTGGTTGGATCTATGTGTGATGAATTTAACTCGTACAGTTTAAATCCCCTTATGAACACAAGGCCATTTCACCGCAGTAGCTGTGCGATTTTCGTGGCTACTATGATTCTCTTTCAAGGTTAGTGGTGCCGTGTCTCGAAGGAAGGAAGTTGAAAGCTCCCCTAATGGGATGCAGTGCTACGCAAACACTGCTTTATATGATCCTAAACCGTCTACTAACACAGTTCATCTGTCATTGGTAACACCAACAGAGCTAATGAAAACACGTTCCCTCCTAGTCACTGAGATATAACCAAAGGTTGGGAAATACAACGAACTATCCTGTAGCTTGGTAATCGATTCCGATACATAAAGGTTGTGAAATATGTTCATGCAAAAAGCCATGACCATTTAGGGAACTCGCCTCATCCAAACTTTCGTATGGCTGTGGACATTCGAAGTCGAACACATCCGATTCGCTAAATTCTTTCCTCAATCTAGCCGATTCGGCGTCGTAGTGGGCACTCAATGCGCGAATGTTCTGCACCTCGCGCTCCTGTAATGGTTGTATCTTTTGTTTCGTGAGTACAGCAACATTCTTCAGCTCATGCCACTGATCAGGTAATGACTATGGGGAGAAAAAGAAATACGTGTATTATGAAACTGGAGTTGAGTTCATTTGACGACTGTGGTGGACATGGATGGTGCAGTGTACCAAAAGGCATCTGATTCATTGCTCAGTTAACGAAGCCTCATCTAATCCACTTACCTCCAGTAGTTTATTCATGGAAGTCGGCAGCTCCTCACCAAATTCTTTCAGTAGTGCTACCGTCTCCCTCAGTGGTTCGAAACCAGCGTCAGTTGCGTCTTCCGCTTCCCGAATCAACTTCAGCCTCTCAAGGACGCGGACCAAGCTATCGTAATCCACTTGCTCCGGATCTCCCTTTATCTCCATATCGTTTGTGCTATCCTCAATGAAGACCTTCAAGTTGTCCAAAGTAGAGGTTACATGATCTACGAGATACTGTTTGAACTTGTCGCTCCATTGGCGAATTACGGTGAGAAGCGAGTTCTTGAACGGTTTTAAGTCGGCTCGAAGCCAAGAGTCGAATATATGTGTATCCGGAAGATGTTCTACCTCTTCGTATACTCGATCGTATTTCAAAATTTGTTCACGGAATTGCTCTAACGTCGGGGGATTTTCTGGTGCCTCTATTTCACCGGTTGGACTCAGGTCGTCTTTTGTCAATAAACGCCCGTAACGACAGAACTGACGAATGAATTCTGTACGATCTTCAGCCCAGTACACGGAGTAACTCGTCTCTAGGTTTGTCTGAAACTCTGCTGCGGCCCGCATGGCAGCTCGAACATGCTCCGTTATCTTCTTAACAAATTCGGAAATCTCAGTGGTGTTTAATACCTGCTGTGAGAAACCAACAAGGTTTTTGATTCGTTGTGTAGTTGAAGTATCCGACGAGGGCTCGGTCTTTTCGGCGGATGTCTCTGAGGTCAGCGTGGGCTTCTGAGGATGCAACAATGAGGGAATGAGACGTGATTGGTTTGTGATATCCTGTATCAGGCTGTCGACCAGATCGAGCAGATTTTCGCCTTGGTTATCTTGCACCCCGGGAGTGTACACGAGTCGATTCTCCTACAAACAGGCAACCGTAGAGAGCAACGATGATTTAGCAAGGCTCACACTTAAGCAACCGCATTATGTACAACTCATTACGGGACTTACTACCAAGTTTAATTTGGTTTCCATCAGTGGTATTTCGGTTTTGCTTCTTTCCGTTCTTGATGACAGATACGCCAAACTGCATCGGACGGCCTCAATGAGGCCGCCCAAGATCATGTCTTCTGCAGCTTCTAGATAAGCTGCCCAATCGGAGCTGCCTTCGTCCGCCTTGAATAATTCCAGATTATCCTGACAAATAACAGTTAGGAGGGGATATCCTGAGTTTAAGCACTGTACCGCACAAGAATAGAAGAGCAAGGTTTGAAATGAAGTAATAGTGTGTCTGAAATCCCCTTGGTTGTGTGCTTATTGCTTTACCGCCACGCAAGACACAGATAGTTTGCTATCCACGGCGATAGGAAGTCGACGATAAATACACATACGCTAAAGACGAAAACAAGCACATTTTGCGTGGCTAGTCAGCCGCTGAAATGCGACCCATATATATATATATATATATATATATATATATATATATATATGTATACATATGTATTCATATGTATATTGGCTTCAACAGTGGTCAAATTCGGGCTCACCATCAACACAAGTAAAACTGTCTCTCTCTTTCAGCCTTCACCGGATGTGCAATCTTCAATATTGCCGCGAATCAGCATTGGTGCTGAAGTATTGGAAACCACCCGCTCTGCTACCTTCGGAGTGTGATATAGACTGATCAGCAGATACACAGTGACCTTCGTATCCGCGTCTCGAAGGCAGCGGCGGCATTCGGGAAGCTAGAGTACCGAGTGTGGAACAGTCATCAGCTTATCATTGGCACGAAGCTGATGGTGTACAAATCCATGGTGCTGTCCGTTCTTCTATACGGCAGTGAAACTTGGACGATGTACCGTCGGGATGTGCGATATCTCGAGCGGTTCCATCAGCAATGTTTGCGACGAATTTCGCACATCAGTTGGGGCGACAGGGTTGCTGACACGGAAGTGTTGCGACAAAATGGGATGTATGCAGTGGACTGCATACGTTTGCTGAGACACCTGAAGTGGCTGGGTCATGTGAGTTGTATGGATTCAACTCGGATACAGAAGCAACTATTATATGATCAGCGGAGTATAGGGAAGCGGCATGTGGGTAAACCAAAGTTACGTTACCAGGACATGATCAAAGTGAGCCTCTCCTGTTCAAATCTTGATTGCAGGTCATCGGAAACGAAGGCAGTTGATCAGCTTGCATGGCGCGATCTAATCACAAAGGCAGTTGCCGAAGTGCGGGAGAAAGACCTCATACATGCAGAGAAGAAGCAGCAAGTGTGGAAGCGGCAAGCACCGATGGGTTGTACTCCATCGACATCGAGCGCATGGTGCTGTAGCACATGCGGTCGCGAGTGCCTGAGTCAGGCAGGCCTAGTGAGCCATGAGCGAGGCCACTCGGGACCACTACCGAAGCGACGACTGGTCCTGCAGAGAATGTAGGCAGAACCGGCGCAGCGTTTGTAGTTAAGCTGCATTCGATTTACTAACCACGTGCTTGCATGCTAAGTCTATTCATTTCAGGTGGTGGGTTTTCTAGTTTGTCCTAATGCTTTTCTTTCTCATATGAACGTCTATCTATACTTGCACCTAAACTTGCACACGTCGCTTAGAACAATTGTAGTTAATTTTGATAACATGTTCGTGTTTGTGGCATTTCCGTAAAGTATACTTTCCGACCTCGTGAACTTATCTCGGATTCGTTTGTAAACAACTTATTTCATATGCTCAGTAATTTAGATTTATGTCACTGTTTCCTTATGCATTAATCGAGTTATTTTCTTGGTTATCTTTCTCTCAAGTGATTGGCTATTGCTTGAAATCCCCGGTGTGGCTGCGCTTGATGTGCATGTTGAAAAGGTGCCTACCTGTCTATTACCCACTATCTCGTCCATACTGGCTCTAGGAGACAGTTGGTCGTTGATGGAGGGGACGGGGCGCACGGTCCTTATGGCCGTGCTAGGCTCGAAGAGCGGTTCCACGCATTCAGTGTGGAGCAGACTACGGTCCAGCCACCGCCTTGTATGCGCTTGAATCCCCAAATACAGCGTGCTTGTGTTTGCCTGTGAAGGAGTGTGGGCCGGCTCCGTTGATGAAACATGGCTCCCATCCACATGCCTCCCAGTCTTATTTCTTCGGGTTTACACTGGATATGGAGTGTGTAGATGGAAGTGTGGGTGGTGCAGAGCAAGCCACCCATGGTCCCTCTATAGGCGTAGGCGTCCGGTGGCTGGCCACAGTGACAGGCAAACCCGAAACCGGATGCCGCCAACTATATATATATATATATATATATATATATATATATATATATATATATATATATATACATATATATATATATATATGTATAATGGCTGTCCTTCGTCACGCGTGAAGTTCCCTACGCGGTAACATCGACCGCGTGAACGAGCCGTAACATCAGTCTTGTTTGGGCTCCGCTGTTTTTAAAGGAATAAATAAGCCATAATGTATCAACGAAAACGGGCTTTACTGCCGCATTGACTCATGCATGGTATGAAACATTTGTGAAGATGGAATTGAGTCAATCGGTCTACCTAAATTTGTCTATAGCCACTAGAATGTAGAGCTACTTTTGGTAACCGCTTCACCGCTCCTACGTAACATGTGTGTCTATAATCAAATGACGGGTCAAATCACAGCGTCATTGTCAGGAAACTAGCTTAGAATGTCATTAAGCAAACCGCAACAAGCGACAAAGTATGTCACACCTGGGACGGATCGCACATTCAGTAACAAGTGTTGTGTGGTCAGTTGGAGTCCATGGTAGTAGCGACGAATTCGGTCAAGATAAATCCGCTTTTAGAGTTATTAACAAATAGAGAGTGCAAGCCACTGAGAACGCTGGTGTACTTTCCAATAAATATTCTTCTTGTGACTTGGTCTCAAAGCCATGATTTTCCCAGGATCTACTTATACTCTCTCGGTCATTTAGAGTAGCGAAATGAAATAACCTGAATGATTTGGTCTCGCTAAGCTATTGCCGATAGGCGTCCAGTGGGTCGTGCGGGAAAATAGCTGCAGATGGTATAACTGCAGTGACATTGCGGCTGTTATCTGCGGGGTAATGACTGATTATGACGCAGGCAGTGAAAACCGCAAAGAAGCTGTTTCGCCCATGCCACATTATCTTTGCAAGATAGCTAGCTGTTTGTAACGGCATGTTTTTAGCAGAGTGTAGGCGTTTTGACCCTGGGTGTTTGCTTAGGGTTTTACACTAGGTCCCATTTCTCTCTCTTATCATTCGTTATTCTTTAGAACACCGTGGCAGTACGACAGTGAAGCATCAGTCTAATTGGCTCGTGTAATGTTGCTGATGAGGTTAGTGATGATTCCGTCTCGTCTTGGGGTACGAGAATGCCTGTGTGGTGATGCAGCACTTGCCAGACTTGAGTCTGAACCCACACTTCTCTGCAATGGTAATCTCCCATATCGTCAAAGTTCAGTTTAGTTGTGGTTGTGTTTGAACGAAGAGCAGAGAGTCCGCATGCTCTGCCCTCCTAATTGACTCACTGCAAGTCATTTGTGGAAACACCTTACAACAATCATTAGGACTCAAATTACTCGACCCACCGCTGGTAGCTCGGGTTGACTGTCCCCGTGTCCATGGGCTCACCGATCTTGGCAATCCGGTCGCAAACGTTTCAACACCAGATGAGGTGAGATTATCAGTGCGGGACGATATCGCTGCACCAGTGTCTGTGGTCGCTAAACAAGTGCGCCTGCCACGAGTCGAAGGCTCGTGGAGCAGGCCACTTTGTTACCGCAGACGGTGTCGCGCGTCATATCCAGATAGTGTGTTAGGAGGACTACGTGTGATGTTCAAACAAATAGAAAATCAGAGGAACTTTTAGAGAAATAAACGGGTAGAACTGCGTTCAGAAGATCCCACTAATCAGCTTTTTAGTGATGCGATGTGGTGACAAGCTTGCGATTCGTTCAAGGTTATTCTAGTCATATAGACATATGCGGCAAATTTCCAGTGAAACACAATCGACGGCATCTCGTGCTTAGCTAGCAAAATGAACATCCTACAAGAGGTTGGGGTCCAACACTGCCATATTCCTCAGCTGTCGATCGTGGACAGGTGCTGAATTTTTCAGAGCAGGTGAGTGGAAAACCGAGAACGAGGCGCGCGGCTGCTAGTGGCCATTTGATGCAAAGTGCCCTGGTTTCGCTGGGAGGTAGCTACAACTGAACGGTCGTTCTATCGAGCAAAAAGTGGCCCAGTTGTGCCCTCACGTCGCCCATCTCAAAACATAAGACTAGTGTAAGTGGTGTCGTGCTGCAGACAGTACGAAGACTGAACATCTCAGCACAAGGAAAGTCTAGCGCCAGTCGTTAAAATGGATTAACCTAAGTCAGTCCATACAAACTAACTACATGTCCGAAAATATCGGCGAGTATGTTGAATCCATGCACCCTTTGGATACTTTGATGAGGATACGGTAACTTTGCCTTGTACATTAGTTTTACATTAGGCCAGGTGAGTGGCTTACCCCTCTCCCTCTCTCCACCGGGCACCGATTGCTTTCCGGGTTAGCGGGAATAATGACCTCGCTGTAGAATGGTCCTCAAGCAGTATAGACTAGTTGGATCGAAGGCAAACGTACTCATGATGCATATGTCAAGAAAATAAGCTGAATGGGCCTAGCCATAAGCGTAGTTTGGAATAAGAACCGAAAAACTTAAAAAACGGTTACCCAGTTTGGGGCTTTATGTGTTGATCAGGAATTCGTCTAAAGAATAATCAGACCGCTACTCGGAATTATTGCCGTACGGTGCAACGTCATGCTCCAGCTCACTGACGAAAAATAAACTCGCTTCAGTGGACAGACTGGTCAACTATCCCTCTGTATTTGCTGATGACAGGATTGGGAATTCGGAACATGGGAAAATTAGTCCGCTCACATTCGGACCGCATGGGAAAAACGTTCGGTTCACCGCAATGGAAAGAGGAGAACAACCATCCCAGAATGCATAAAGGTTGTCAAACGCGCAGCTGCAGCAGTGACCCACCTTTATCAGTTCGTCTATCTTGGCTGCTGCCGTGTCAATTTCTTTGAATCGCGCTTCTCGCAAAGCTTCCCTCTCTTCCAATGGGATCAGACAATCAAACTTTCGCTCCTTGCCTTGATACAACGGAGCAGAACGCCACTGCGAGGCCAACTGTTCGACTTGTTTCAAATTCTCTTGTGCCTTCACCACACGGGATTGAATTGTACTAATCTTGCTCTGAAGGTTATCGATAAATGCAGAGTCGACTGCGAGAGCAGAAATGGAAAAGACAAGGGGATGAATAACCTAATCCCAAAGCATATAAAAGTGGTCTGATACGAGTACAGAATACTGACTTTACATGTAATGAATGGTCTGAAAACTGCACTATTGGACTGTGAGATAGGTGATGAGCTGAGTAATGTGCCGCAATGGTAGAGTGCCAAATGCTCATTTGCTCTAATGGCTCTCCATGAAGCCGTTTGTGTACATACATACCGGATGAGGATACCAGTGATTCACCTGTGGGAAATTTCGGAGGTTGTATGGTGCAAGCGGTGATTTGTGGGTGGTTGCACGTGCAATACAATTCAATGCACGAATGAGCTATATGCACAGAAAAGGTTGCATACGCCGCTGTTACACACACACACACACACACACGCACACACACACACACACACTATATTCAACATTGCAAAAGGAAGCAAACTCAAAGAGCACAAGTTGGTTAATAAGTGGCATAGACGGCAATATATTTATCATGCAAAATTGCTTACAAACCAGAACAATTAGTTCTGGTCGGACAAAAGAGAGATCAAGTATAGAACTACGGATTAGCGGTAAGACCTTGTACGTGCATAGGTGAATCTATACTTGTGTCCAGTTAAGAAATTTTACATGCAGACAGCGCACCGTGAATAGTCTGACGCATCGGTGAGCATTTTTGAAGCAAGTTTTTAGTATGAACTGGTATGAGTGGACATATGAATACCAACAAAGATCAGTCTTGGAATGTCGCAACATCGAGATAGTTGCGTCACTAAGTAGGAGATGTTACAGTGGAGCAATGGGTTCAGTGGGGTAGGACACAAGCTGTGAAAAAGCACAGCATTAAGTAGCGGGTGAAATAGGAGGTTCGCAAACGAGCAGGGTGGAAAGTAGGTTACCACATTTTTGTGAAAACATCGTTTATGTAACCGTGAGCATGATAGATCACGGCTGAGTATGACATCTGGATACTTTCACTACCTTGGTGCAGTTCAGGGCAATCCGTGAGAAGCTACTGATGGCGACGGACTTTGTGTAGGGAGAAAGGAACGCATTGCATTTAAATGCGTGCAGCGATAACAAGTGAGCTCTGAATCACAACGCAAGGCTGTCCAAATAGGCCTGTAATTTGATTGATGAGGCTGAGGTCGGATGCTGGATGTCTAAAACCACGTCATCTGCACATCTTAGGGATGTCGTTTCATCAGGGGCAATTAATGATACGAAGTAAGTGAGAAAATGGTATGGTGACAATATAGCTCTTTTGAAGAATCTCGGTGGCTGTGGTGAGTAGCGAGGAACTTTTACTTACAAGTCGAGTTAACTAGGCACGTCCAATGAAGTAGTCCCTTAGCAGACGGACGGTAAAAGGTTATTACAAATTCATCTAAGTCTCTCAAACGAAACTCACGGTTTACCGTGCTAAACGCAATACTGTAGTTGAGAAAACATATTCGCACAGATTTATTCTTGTTGTCTAGTGACACCAGTATTGAAGGTACAACATAGGCTAATGCGTCTTGAGTAGAGTACAAACTGCGATGAGCAAACTGAAGGGGATCATCTGAATGGGTTTGATTTATCATCTTTTCAAGAATAATCTTCTCGAAGACCTTCAAATTTACTGAGATGCAAGTAAGCGTAAGGCATTTATTTGATGCTGGTGTAAGGCTAGCAGTATTCCAGCACTCATCAACTTTAAGTTCTTCCCTGTATAACATGTACAGGTTAGCAGTAGATTAGGTCACTTTGAGTAGAAATAAAACGGAGGCAGTGACGACATAATTTTAATTGGCATTGCAAGTGTGAAAGACTTGAAGGGTGACGGCAAGCATTCCTTAACTTTACTTCTAAGACTCTTAAATTATGCCACGATGGAGCATCAGATATTGAGGATACAAGAATACGTTCGTCCAACACTTGGCAGGTTAATAAATTTTTTAACCGCAAGCTGTAATGTCATCAATTTCTCCCATTGGCATTAATAAGGATCGATGCTTCGTCCTAGATTGCTGACGTTATCTTTTCACCGGACCTTTAGCGACTGCACAGCACCTTGTATCACATATTATCCGCTTACTGGCAAACTATTGTTTACGGCCTTGACGTATTTCCACACGTCACAGAGATTAATCGTGTCTACGGTCGCTCAATGAAGTAAATATACTATCACCATTTGGTCCTGTTAGCAAAAGTAGCGCGGTCCGTGATCAAAGGAGCTACACATCATACCAAAGTACCTAACTTCCATCGCGTATCGTCACGTTACATCCAAGGCAGAGCGTAGTTTAAACGGAAGCCCAACTAATGGGGGTGCTCACTGGCTCACAGAATCTATAAGTGTCTGGGAAAACAAATGCTTACCCATGGTGTACTAACTATTGAGTTAGAGACCTAAATTCTAAATTCTCGTGTACAAATCCGAAATACGGACTTGGTGAGTAGGTCGTCCGTTCATCAACATGGATGTGACTGAGATTCATCAGACAGAAAAGTGTACAAGTTGTAGAAAGGCGATGGAGGGTTATTTGTGGGACACGTTCACAATGTGCATATGCTTGGCGCGGTGAGAAATTGGAATAACGATCTCTTCTCTCCAAGTGCCGTGTTGAAAACACCGAGCCACACAGTACAATAGCAGTGGAGATGACAATGTAGACCATAACACAGGATTAGCCCAGAAACAACCACCTCCCAACCAGGTCGCCAACAGACTTACGGCGATGTCATGAATTGAATGACAAACACCTAATTTCCTCAAGATGCTTGCACTTCAGAGAAATTGAGTATAGTGCTGCGAGGAGATCCTAATTTTTACTATTTTCATTGAGCAAACAGCTTGCTTGAAATAGTTACTCATTTCTGGATTTAGTTGAGGCTGGGTACTGAAGCACCAAAGACGCCAACTCGAATGATGACGAAAAGTGCAAAATCCAGTCGCTCAGCTCGAAGAACAAGTCAAGATTTCAAGTTTTACCTAAAAGTTACCATAGCATATAAACTAAGGCAAGTGGCGAGCGGAGGTGTTGCCCCCGCTGGCTTGCCGAACAACCTCCTCGTGGTGCCAGCCGGGTGGTTCGGGATTTTCCCGTTCCAGCAAATGGTTCGGCGGCAGTGTTCCAGGACGTAGTTGGTTTTCGCCTGGCAAGCGTTCCCCCTACAAAAAGCCACATATGTCCGTTTAACAACACTGTGACGTGGCGGACGTGACTCGCCACTAAATAAAGTCACTGCCCCTTGCTTCATCCTGGCGAAGCATTGTATTCCAGCAACCTTATGCTGTACTTCTGGGGAGCATTGGGCCCCTGTTTGACAAAGGAACAAACGGAAGGCGTATGAACTGAGCAGTCACCGGCTCCCAATGGGTGCGATTCCCTGAATTCGCTCCGCTGCGTTGCGGGCAGGCTATTCAGCCAAAGGCTCGGGGTGGTGTCCCCTAACTCAACACCCTACTTCGGCTTGGGCAACCGGGTAGTATCTCGCCCTCTGAGAAAACCATAGACATTGTTGTGTTGTGTTTTATTTTACTGTTTCTGTACCTTCGTTTGAATCCCATGGTTTCTGATGACATTATGTCTGTTAGCAGACTTTTGCAAATATATAAATATATATAAATATATATATATATATATATATATATATATATCCCGCATCATACATTCTTTGCAGCGATGGGAACTGGTTACGGTAGACTGCACGTGGACTAGCGGATATGCGATCGCGCGTGCGACTTTAGATACTCCGCTGATAGCGCTCTCCTGCTAACAGAAATGATACTGACAGCAACCATACCAGCCGGCATATGTGAGGTCAGGTCTCCCAAGAGTGGGTTACGTCAACCGTTGATATTGTAATGTATTACTAGTGAGTAGTATATGCGGAAAGGAGGCGCAAGGAGATCAAAGAAATCGTGGATCGCCGCGGACGAAAGATTTGTGGTGCACAACTCAATAACACGAAAGAAGCGTGGTGCAGAAATCTACCTCCGCCAATATCTTGTAAAGGAAGATAGGCAGCGGAACGAAGTCGGAAAGATACCACGAAGGAAGTACGCAAATGGCCCCGAGTTTCCATATTATATGACAATAATATGATATCTATGCGCAAATTCTCTAATACATAACGTCCGTACCGCGTTGCATTCTCAACGATACGAGCCCACAAACCAAACAACGTCGACAAAGTTCTATTCAGACTACAGCCTCTTCACAATCAAAGAAATCGTTAACTTTGCTGGACATCACTTCAACGCACCACTCGATCTAACCTACATTATCCCATACACCTGCGACAAGCCCATACCCGATCATGTTAGCTAAAGGAGGCGAATTGCGCAAAAGGGTATCAACCATTGACGACGTAACGCCGCAGATAAGACCGCTGTCTTCCGTTTATCGCTCTCCGGATCTGTGCCCTCAGGTATTAGTTATGGATTCAGCCAGTATGAATCCCCCCAGCAAAATAACACCGTTCTGCCTCTCTCGATATACATATCGGTGGATAATTGCGAAATACTGACGAAGGCTTTTCAAGCACGCTATGAGGTTGTGATCTCCTCGGCAAATGCATCCTTGCGAATGGCCCTAGATACGCCATGTCATGCGATGCGGGTATAACGCATCCACTTGTGTGTGGTTAGGATAAAACGTGAGCAAGTAGAAGTAATTGGCCAACGATGGGCATCTGCGACTAGCAGTACGGCTGCAACACTTCACTCTTGCTGTAGCACTCCCAGTACTTTGGTACAACTGTGTGGTAGCAGGCTACTAATAGAACTATTTTAAAAAGAAAAATAATTTTGACCTAAAGGCATTGATAAGGAGCTGCGTGTCCTGCGTTAGTTGATTAACGTTAGAAACTTCTGACCCATTTACCATTTTCCCAATTCATGGATTTTAACGCTGGGGCCAATTCGGTGTCGAAAGCTTCCACCTCGTCTGCAATCAGCGGATATTCCACGGTGAGCGTCTTTTGCCGAACCGCGTTGTAAGCATTTTCAATTTGGGCCAACTTCAGCTGCGATTCGCGTAATGGTTCAAAGCGTTTGTGCATATCCAAGGCGGCGGAAGGTAGTGATTCCTTTAATGTGAGTATACAGCCACATCTGCCAACGATTGGGTAATTGGATGTTATGCAGGCTACTTCTTGTAAATTGGCTAAAAGGTTTGAGCACTTTTTCGAACGCCGAATGTTGGACAGGACGCAGTCGGATTTGCTATATATATACTATTTCTGTAATCACGTCATTGCGGTTAGCAGATAATCTGCGATATTACCGCCTTCTAACGCGTATAGCAGACGGCATCTGCAGCACACACACTAACGATAAGACATCACTGTTTGTATTGCACCTCTTATTTGTGTATCATTTTTCACCTAGTAACCGGATTGATGGCATTTGTTTCCTTATTCCTATATCTGTCTAGCTGTTATTGATGCTCACACTTCTGACTAAATTTATAGCTGCCACTTTTAGGTTAACGCTTCAATGTTAACTAACCAACGGCAATCGTATTGGTTGCTTACATAATTATACGTGAGATCTTCCAGCACTAGTGGAATATGGTTGTTATTCTTTCATTCAATTCATACTCGCGCTCGTTCACAGTGTTATTGCTCATGACGGTTATTGTTTCTCCGTTTAGTTTGTGGTAGTCCATACACAAATGTGAATAAACGTCCGTTCGCAACACTGCATTACTGCAACTCGAACCAGGGACCTTTGGTATGTCAACTGATATCTCATGTTGAATGACTAAGTGGAAACCATTTAGAAACACTTGTAAGCGCCACACTTTAACCTGACAGACTGATGGCATTTTCACTCGCGCGACACCATTATCTGCTAGCTCGATGTTTAAATGGGACTCGACTAAATTACAAGTCCCGCTAACGTCTGTTCGTATCTCGATACATTCCCACTTGACAGATGGATCTTATTGCATTTCTTCTCGTGTGACATCGTGACTTATTGCGGGTTACAATATGAGCTCAATGTATCCCATCTCAAGTGTCTCTGTATGCCCCCTTGTACTGCTGCCGCCTTCAGGTAAACGCACGGAGATTCAGACAAGTCATCAAAGTTGATTCCGGAACAGCGGCAACACGTTGTGACATCCAAATCGAAATGCTTGGGTACAGGTAGCATTCTAGACACTGATGAATTGGTCGAGATATCCTAGCGGTCAGAACGAATGACCAGGGGGAAATAAATAGTAACACACGACGGACTGCCTAGTGGTTCTACATCCCTGTTGATTCTCGCTCACCTCGGACAACAGACGATTATAACCGTCTCTGGTTTTACCATACGACACGGATAGCCTGCAGTGGACATAATCGCACTATTTCCCTGCTAACTTGAAAAGTTGCTTACTCCATCTCCGTCATTTTCTTTGTGTCATCCGTATTCTATATCCCACATGTAAGTCGCGTTTGGGTACAGGTTCATTCTAGAATGATTAACTACTGGCTTGGTGCAATGAGGTATCTTTATTGCACATGCCTAGAACGAATGAGCCACAGCTAACCTAACTTTATTATGCTTATTTAACTCGGTTGTATTTCGCGATGAGTTCACGTGTTGCCCATTGCAATGTTGTACTCATCATGACCTATGCTATGCTATTCTTGCCACCTTCTCAAGCAGAGTCTAGTATGGTGATATACCGAGACGGTGAGCTACGGTATCTTTCTCTTCGTATTATTATTATTCGGCCGCGATCCACATCACTATGTAAGCTCTGTGGTATTAGTCACCAGACTATGCTATCTACATTCTGCTTCTTGAAATCGATTTGTAGATTACATAACCGTAGCTTGACCAGCTGCTCAATGCTAACTAGCGTGACGCTTAGAGCGCCGGTGCATCGCAGAAGAGAAATTTCCCTGGAAATTCTGTGGCAAGTGAACAATCCCGACAATTAACCGATTAGCGATGATCACGATGTCTCCATTTCATGTTCCACTCCGCAGGCTAGTGATGAGAGTGAGCACAGTTATAGTTTCGGTTGTCCCTCAGCCATACTGAATTTACCGGGGCTTATGAAAACACACGTACTAAACGGATGGAAGGCAGACACGCAGCGACGCCTACCAGAAATTGCATTGTACATGGACAATCTTTTGGATGGACTAAGTAAAAGTTGAACCTAATGGGAATGGTACATCAGTGTGTTAGTATATTACATCGGAAAGGAATCGAGGCATAGCGCCAATCATTTTATGAGCACCAAATGGCTGCACCCGAGACGTATGATATAGATCGTTAGCAAATAGCTTATGGCCACAGTAGAGTACACGTCAGTAGGTACAAACGGTTGAGTAGTCGGACATCTACACCAAAATTGCGAACACTGTTTGGAAAGTTGCATGTTTGACAGTGGGCAACGGGACTTAATTGATGTCACCTGTCAATACCAAAGGGTGCGCATCAATCGTTCTTTGAGTAGGTGCACATACCTCAGGCAGCAGATGACCGAACCGGTCGGAGACACAGAGAGCCAGAAGTGGACAATGCATCGCATTCGCATGCTGTGTGATCATCTCCCCCATCAGCTACTCAAATCAGACTGTACATATAGAGGGCAACACCTAAGTGCATACTATTTCGCTGTACCAGTAGTTTAGTTATGCTTCTACCTAGCAGTTGCTTCACTATTGCTATATCCTGTTCCTTCAAATATGGATGCCCACGATTTAAGGCGGTCACATTTAAATGTTGAAGAAAACATCAACAGTTCGTATTCGGGAACTTTTTGTCATGCCTGCGAAAGTGGTTGTTAGGATGACCTCCAAACGAAACCCATACACGGTTGTCGTACCATTGATATTGATGTCTAATGTGTCTCTATTTAGTTTGTGACAGATCACACTTAACTTTGCATAAACGCATGTGCATATGTTGTATTCGAACTGCCATTGAATACGGATGACGCCAATCATTGTATATATGTATACCGAATGAATTCGACGAGGATACTCATACCGCATTTGTACGGCTAACTTAGTGCAGGGAAACCGCACTCGAGCAAGCCGAAAATAACATTACTAGAACATGAAGAAGGTGAGTTTATGACAAACTCATGTTGATTTCAGGTGTAGCGAATCCAAGGCAAATCTGATCGATGCGAACTCCGTTGACTGATTATAAAGGCGGTTGCTGAGGTGCAGGAGAAGGTACTATTGCGCGCGGAATAGAAGCATGATGCGTACGCACCCATTCGATTTACTAATCCAAGGCCAATAAGGCGGCGTATGTGGTACGTTTGCCTGCGTGCTGAGTAACCTTGCATTTCAAAATTAGATGTTGTTTGAGCTCCCCGGTGTGGATGCGCTTGATGTGAATGTTGACCAGGTGCCTACCTGTCTATTACCCACTACCTCATCCATACTGGCTCCAGGAGACAGTTGGTCGTCGCTGGAGGGGACGGAGTGTACCGTCCTTGTGACGGTGCTAGGCTCAAAGAGTGGTTCCATCCTGTGTGGAACGGGCTACGGTCCAGCCACTGCCATGTGTATGTCTGGTGTGCATGATTTCCCAATTAGGCCGGAATGCTACTGTTCTGCTTGTTGAAGGAGTGTGTGGCTCCTATCCACATGCCTCCCGGTCTTATTCCTTCGGGTTTACACCGGATATGGGGTGTGTGCGTGGAACTGTGGGTGGTGCAGCGCAAGCCACCCATGGTCCCCTTTGTAGGCGCAGGCGTCCTGTGGCTGTCCCCATGGAGGCCACAGTGACAGGCAAATCCGGATACGGATGCCGCCATACCATATATATATATATATATATATATATATATATATATATATATATATTTATATGCTGAGGCTGATGTTGAATTCATGATACTTCTTGACTGCAGCTGGGCTAAACCCACTTACACTTAAACTGGGTCTTTTTAAGCTGGATTAATTTCTTTCCACTATATTTGGTTTGTTCTGCCTACCTGAATAATCTTCAATTAACTTGCACACGTTGCTTACGCTAATTGTGGTTATCTTCGTTAACTTTATCGCGTTTGTAGCACTCTTTTGATTAACTTGTGGACTTTTTGTACTTATCGCGGATACGTTGATAGCCAACTTACTTCATATGCTCATTCAGTGACGAGTTATGTCACCGTATCTATATGCATTATCGGATTTATTTTATCTGATATCGTCGTTTCAAATGATTGACTGTTGCTTGACATCCCCGGTGTGGCTGCGCTTGATGTGCATGTTGACAGGGTACCTACCTGTCTATTACCCACTACTTCGTCCATACTGGCTGCTGGAGGGGACGGGGTGCACGGTCCTTGTGGCCGTGCTAGGCTCGAAGAGTGGTTCCGTGCACTCATTGTGAAGCGGACTACGGTCCAGCCACCGCCTTGTGTGCGATTGATTCCCCAAATACAGCGTGCTTGTGTTTGCCTGTGAAGGAGTGTGGGCCGGCTCCGTTGATGAAACGTGGCTCCCATCCGCATGCCTCCCGGTCTTATTCCTTCGGGTTTACACTGGATATGGGATGGGTGGTTGGAGCTGCGGGTGGTGCTGCGCAAGCCACCCATGGTCCCTCTGTAGGCGCAGGCGTCCTGTGGCTGGCCACAGTGACAGGCAAATTCGAAACCGGATGCCGCCAACCATGTATTGCGGCACAATAGCGGAGGTGTTTTTCCCACCTCTAGCTGAAGTGTATGATGATGATGATGACGATGATGATGATGATGATGATGATGATGATGATGGTGGTGGTGGTGGTGGTGATGATGATGATGATGATGATGGTTGGCTTGCGCTGTACCACCTACAGTTCCACCCACACACCCCATATCCGGTGTAAACCCGAAGGAATAAGACCGGGAGGCATGTGAATTGGAGCAACGTTCCATCAACGGAGCCGGTCCACGCTCCTTCAACAAGCAGAATACAAGCATTCCTGCCTAATTGGAAAATCATGCACACCAGACGTACACATGTCTTTGGCTGGACCGTAGCCCGTTCCACACAGGATGAAACCACTCTTTGAGCCTAGCACCGTCATGAGGACGGTGCACTCCCTCATCTCCAGCGTCGACCAACTGTCTTCTGGAGCCAGTATGGA